GTGGTCCCAACCGATGGCCGGCCGGAGCAGTCAGCAGAGTGGACCATCTATGTGACTTGGACGCTACGACCGGGGCTGGCCTTACTACGAACAAGAGGACGCTACTAGTAACAAGTGCATCGCTTCTAGTAACAAGTGCCTTACTAGTAGTAACAAGAGGACGCTACTATTGTCTTTTTCTTCAATAAACCTAAGAGCGATGGCCTCCAACGTAATAGCATTCTTGTTTTCCATGTGTTCTCCTTCGCAAGGGGAAGCCCATGAACTAGAGAATGGAAAAGGGAAAGAATGGAAAAATGTCAAAGATCCACAAAAAAGAAAGAGTAGGACAATAGAAGAGAAAAGGTCTTCATTTAGAGTCGAAAGAAGGAAAGAAAATTGGGCTTTGTCGATGTCCGGAGCGAGCATGTCCAAGAAATCGTAGACATTCTTTTAAAAACCTTTCCTTACTTTTTCTGTCCTTTATATTTGTCATGTCCCTTTTGTTTCTTTCCTTTTTCGACGGCGCAGCGAAGTTTGAACCTTTAAGGTGGGTACCACGGGCTTCCGCTCCGATTCGGTGTGCACGGTCATCCCCAATGCACGTGGTGATCACATTTGGCCTTGCACTCCAGCCGCTGGGGCCTTCTCAGAGCGCGGTCCGCCCTCGTGCCGTCGTCTCTTCGAAAGCTAAAGCCATAAGAATCCTGAGGAACAAGGACGCTACTAGGAGCAAGTGCCTTACTAGTAGTAACAAGGACGCTACTAGGGGCTCCTGGCCTCGCTACTAGTAACAAGGACATACAAGGACGCTACGAACGGAACAAAGGGCATCGCTACGCCCGGAGCAAGGACACTACTAGGGGCGCTCCTGGCATTACGACTCGGAACAAGAAGCTACTAGTAACAAGGTGGCCATCGCTAGTAGGTTGGAGGCTATCGCTATGATTATGGCTTGAAGATTTGGCTGGCCCATGCGATTAAATCTTGCTAGATGCCGCACCACCGTATAGGCCTAAGTCCCAAAACAAGCGTTTGTGAAGATTTGTTTTGGCTGATGGCATCCTTGGACACCGGAGCTTTTCTCGTTTGGAATTTATCCACGGAGATCCGAAGGCCTAAGGCGTAAGGTTTTGACAAAGCGATTCACCACGATTGGTGGCTCCACTGTTTTCAAAACGTTCCACATTCTGCGCTTTTCTTCATCGAACGCCAGGCAAATGGCAACTACGTCAGCGTTTGGGGCAACGTCAACCAGCTGAAGGCATGACAGCTTTCATGAGTTTTCCCCAAAGCAAAATGAACAAAACGCACACACACACACACAGAGGTTTTAAGAAGCAAGAACATGAATGAAAACGAAAGGACTTCCTTCAAAAAACAAGGAAAACAAGCTTTCTTCCGTTGAAAAGCAGAGAGTCGAGCTCGTCAGGTGCTTCCGGAAGAGTTTGGCATCCGCATTTGCGAGATCGAAGCCTATGCCACCTACCAGACCACACGGCTCGAGGCCTTTTTCCAACGAAAAAGAGAAAAGGAAAAAGAGAAAAGGACAGTCAAAGCTGTGTGGAGAAGACGCCCATACTAGTAGGGCCAGGAGCCCCTGGTAGCATCCTTGCTCCTAGTAGCGTTGTGACACCAGACTTGTGAAGCCCGAGTTCTGAGCCTTCATAATGAGGGAGTGATCTGTTCATGTTTCTTCATGTGTCTTCAACCGAAAGGTGAAGAAACGAGACCGAGCGAAAATCGAAGAAAACACCCAGGTCACCCCTGTTTTTTCAGTCCACCCTTACTGGTTTTGAGTATAAGGCTCCTGCTACTTAAGTAGAGAAGTTCGCTCCTAGCCACTGAACAAACGGCGATGGACTCCGCAGCACGTCATCGACAAGTTCGCCTTGGCCAACGGCTTGCCCCAGCCTTTCCCGACGGATGGACCGCCACAGAACATCAACATCTACGGACTTCAGCCCAACCGCAGTTACGAGGCCATTCCGCGGTTGAGATATACCAGGAAACGAATGAAACAACGAATGAACAACGAGAGATTGTTGTTTGAGCCTTGGTAGAGGTTGGTGCCAAATCTAGCTTGGTTGAATCATTCAACAAGATTTGACAGGGTTTTTGAATGTCTGTCGTGCAGGAAAGGAATGTGAGTGAGAATGAATATATTGTTGCCCAGTGTTTTTTTGTGGTGTTTCTGATCTAGGTATGTAGATGAAACTTGCACCAAAAGACGCAGCTGTGGCAACAGTGTTTTTGATGCACAAAGAAATACTGAAGACACTGTATCTTTCGGTATGAGAGTCCGAAAGCAAGATCACAACCCATCAAAGCTGCTAGAAGTGTTTCATGATTGACCTTGACGATTCGCATCTGGAACAGGTCTTTTGTTACAGTGAAGATCTTTACGGCAACCTACAGTACAGTCAATCAGCTCCTCTCACCTTGAAGACCACAGTAGCCTTGGTCGCAGGGATGCTCCGAGATCCGGTCGTTGTATGAAGATCCGTCCGTATCCTTTCTTGTTTCTAATAGTAAGGCACTTGTTACTAGAAGAGATGCACTTGT